AGAAATGCAATAAATATTTAGCAATTGAAAAAAAAAAAAAAAAAAAAACACAACCCAGAAATTCCCTCCCCCGGGTATTAAATGCGAGCTCTCGGTGGCCATCAGGGGTGCTGTCACCCCGGGCTGGGGTCACACGCAGCCCGGCCACGCGGCCGTCAGGACGGGTTTAGCTCAGCGCTCCCCGGCAGCCAGACCGCTGTCACCTCGGGGCCAGGACCAGCGCAGAGCCACGGCCCCAGGAGATGCCCCGGAGGCAGGACATGGGGCAGCGCTGCCACCAACGCAGCCGTTGACGGGGTGCGCCGGTGGCTCCTTGCCCAGTGTCACACTGGGGCAGCTGGAAGGCAGAGCTCAGCCCCCGCCGTGATGCTTTGGGACGTCGTGGGGAAGGTTCGGTGCCTGCGAGGGAGGGAAGGGGGCAGAGGAGAGGGGTTTTTTTTTGGAACTGAGGGGTTTGGCTTTCGGCCAGGAGCAGGGACCCTACAGGGAGCTGACACATCCCCTTTCCCAGGCTGGAGCCTGCAACAGGTCCCTGCCCCCAGGGCTTGCCTGGAGGGGGTGGGGGGGAAGAGCACTGAGCCTGTTTGGTATAAAATTGCAGTAATTAAGCCTCATTTACAGTGCTGGAGTACAAAGTAGAAGAGCAAACAGAGGTGGCTGTTCGCATTTATTCATCTGCAAACTATGCAATTAGGATGGCAGAGCTGGGAAAGAAGAGCACGATTGTTCCCCCCCCCACCTCCTCCCACCAGCCCCGCTCCCTCACGGGGAGCCGAGCTCGCCTTCCCCGGCCAGCAAAGCAGCCAGCAGCTGGGAACCACCTCTCAAAATACAGTTATTTCCCCTCCGTGGCATCGGGCCAGGTGTAAAAAGGGACTCAGCGATGCTCTGCTGAACTCTCTGACCGTGGGGAAGGGCTGCGGGGAGAGCCCGGGACAGGGGATGTGCCCAGAGCTCTCGGCTGCCTCCGCCAAACCGGAGAGTTCGCCGGAGCAGAGCTGTTGGGGTTTGCGGTGCCCGAAAAGCTCCCCCTGGTCTGCCCCGGCCCTCTCCCAGGGAGAGCAGCACTGTTCACAGCAGTGGGTTGTCCCCTTTCCTAGGTTTTGCTGCGCAAATATCTCTTCCTAGACCCAACCGCTTCCAAAACCCATCAGCCAGTTCTCCTCCAGGAGCCCCGGGATCCCACTGGGCAGCCCCTCGCTCCCGACAGCCCGGGGAGGCAGCGGCTGCCACGCACACGGTGAGAGGCCGATTCTTGCTGGTTGTGAACAAGGACAGACCTCAAGAAGAGGGTTTAGGAACGCGCCGCTCCCAGCCCTTCGCAAATCCAGGCCCACGCTTTCAACCACCGTCATACAAATGACCCCGAGGAGTCCCTGGACGGGGCTTGGAGCACCCTGGGCTGGTGGGAGGTGTCCCTGCCCAGGGCAGGGGGGGTGGAACTCAATGATCTTCGAGGTCCCTTCCAACCTAAAACTGTCTATAATTCCATCCCATCATCATTAGTGTTATTCTAATGTAGAAAATCTTATTTCGTTTTCAAAGAGAAAACTTCAACTATCTCCGTTATTCTCGTGCTAAGAAAACATTGTGCTGAAGTTGCCAAGAAATCAAGCCCGGGGTAAAACCGTGTTGCAGATAAGTAGGTGTCCCAGAAGGGACAGGCAGGACCACCAGAGAGCTGCTGTCACCCTCTCTTCCCTCACCAGCGGGACCACTCAGGGACACGGTTTAGCAGTGGACTTGGCAGCAGCAGGTTTATGGTTGGACTCGATCTTAAGGGTCTTTTCCAAACGAAACGATTCCGACTCCTACAGAGCCATAGGGGGGGAAAGATCAGTGAGGGTTAAACACATCACCGGCACCGGGGAGGTGTGGGAATCCCTCGGGAGGGACAGGAATCCCTCGGCTCCAGCAGCCCGGACATGAGCCTGCGTTTGCAGAGCTGACGCGTCTCGGCACACACTTACCTGTGGCTCCGGCGAGCGGCCGCAGAGGCAGCACGAGCCCTCCCTGGCCTCATCCAGCCGGGGCAGCAGGCAAGTGAGCCGCGGTACACGCCGAGCCGCCGGGCAGCCTGCAGGCACCACGCACCAGCAAAGAGCACGGAAAATAAAATA